CTAACTATGCATCTCAAAGCGCGAATCCCTTCTGAGGGCTACGAATGGGAACCTTGGTATTTAGATACTGGCCCAACCAGCACACAACGTTCCTTGAAGGGATTCAAAAGAATGCAACTTCAAGCATTCAATGGCCATGGAATCATAATACCAAGGTCTCAAAGTTGACAAAGTCGCAGAACAAGTTCAGCAGCAGTTCCTAGGAACAGCTGAAACACAAAGCTTGAAAGCAGGCGTGTTCCGGACGCGTCTTTCAATTGACAATTTTGAGACGGAAATATCATCTGCCTACAGTTCCTCCTGGAAACATAACATGCCACCTTCGTCGTCTCTCAGCAACACGGCCATGATGAGGGAGGATACTGAAGCGCCTGCGTTACGTTTCTCTTCTTCTCCTCTCGTTATTACCCGGCCACACAAATCCTCAGTGCCCGAGCATCTGCGCGCGTTCTCTACTGCAGTGGTGGGAGAAAGCTGCAGTGTGATTCTCTTCTGACTAGTGGGAAGAAGGTAAATTTTCTCACCGCATCCGGAAATGCTATCGCAGCTTTCCTTTCCAAGTTTACGGCCACTCTGTGCGTGCACGTAAACTTCCGACGCAATGCCGTGGCAGCAGACATTGAACTTTGTGCAGATCCCTCACCACTCACTCCTCAATGTAAAGAAACTCCCCGAGATCTACTTGGTGTGCAAGCTTCTCGTGAAATACTCATTCGTGGGCACCATCTATGGTGTTGACGCAAACTGAGACGCCGACAACATCGCAGCCAACCTGGTGTCAGCCATCCCAGTCATCTCCTGCGTCCGCTGAGGAATTTGCCTCATGTACTTTGGAGGGCACTACCATCCCACTGAAGGACTTCCTGTTTAAGCTTCTCAGGCCAGCCCGTCCTTGTCAGCAACAGCGCCTTCATTCTGCCCGCCATGGTCGTTTTGGCCATGCCACCGGGACCTGCTCACTCGACGAGCGCTACCTCCACTGCGGTGACAGTTACCCCAAGGGACGTTGTACCATGACATCACCATGCTTCCTCAACTGCAGAAGCAAGGATGCAGCGAACGAGCCGCGCTTCTCCTGCTGGTAGCTCAAGCGCAAAACCACTGTCATTATCGTCTGATCAGATGGCACAGTAACGTGTTGCCAAGCTCTGGAGCCCACCTGCATTGCTGTCAACACCGACGAGCGAGGCAGTGGGGCGATCGTGAAGGGCCACTCGTTCCGCGAAGCTGTATCAGGTGGCGGCTGCCCCAAACCTTTTCTGGAGACCGCCCGCCGTCTCCTAGAGCTCGACAATACACCCAAACCTTTGTCCCGACTCCGCCATCCTCGGTGAATTTCCGACGGACGCGGTGATGGCAGCACTTGCTGCGGTGGTTCGTGTGGTACTCGTGATGTTGCCGACTGGCCCTCCAGTGCTTCGGTTATGTGCCGCGGCTTTTGCCACAAATGACGCCATCACGCCTAAGATTAGGCGGCCACTTACGACCACAACAAGGCCAACAGTACTCCCATCGGCGAGTTAAGTGAACACTATTTTTCTTTTGCCTGGGCTACATGCTCAGGGAAGTGCTTCGCGTGCTCCTGTTTTCTCCATGCGGCACTCCGGCCCGGTGTGCTTCTTCTTCGGCGAATATTTTCTGGAACCTCTTCAGGAGCTGTACCGATTGGCTACGTTCTGCGGTGAATCGGACAACCTGAAATCCATCCTTATGCCGACCTGATGAGGTGTCTTCGTCAGGAGGGACAGCTATGGGTTGGCACTTTTCTCTTCTTTTCTTTTTCACAACTACTGAGACAGAAAGAAAGAGAGAACGGCATAGCTTCTAGTTACAAAAAAGGAGTACGAATGAGCTCATTTGATCGACGTATTATATTGGAGAAGAAAACACGTCTATTGCATCTCCATGGGGAAGCGTTCAGACCCGTGTGTGCCGCAAGCAAGCGTACACTATATACGCGGTGGCCACAGAAGTTCGGACGTTGACTTTTGTTTGGCATGTGTTGAAAGTGTTTGTACATTCTTGTTTGTTGGACTCTGGAAAACATCTCGTATCTGCATATAGTGTACGTGCTAGGACAGGTTCTGTGAGTGGCAAGGAGTCTTCCAGTCACCTAATGTTTACGCTTACAACCTGCAAGTAATATTCTATTTCTAAAGCACGCCTTTTCCAGGCTCAGGAGAGTTGTGAGATACAGTGGCATCAACCAAAGTTCTTGTCTTTGTCTTTCATCTGTGCTTCTACACCTGTCTCTGTCAATGTTAACAAGTCGTTGCCTGTTTGTGGAACTTCAATAGCCTATACTTTTATTGAGTAGGTATCGCACTGACTATGCAGAGCAACTTCAACTCTGCAATACTATTTCAGGAGTGCTGAAACTGTTCTAAATTCTGAGATGATCAGATGCTCTTTACCTGTCACCGTGGCTGTCAGCTTCTTTTACAATTCCTTCGTAACAGAGCTGTGTTTTCTACTTTCATCAATCATCACTCTCTAGCTATTTTCTTGCAATGACTTCAGCCCAAATTTGCACAGTCTGCAGACGTACTGTGTTCTTGAGCGCTGCTGTGCAGATGGACCAGCTGCAAATGGTTGTCTCCGCGTGTGTAGCTTGCCACCTTCATTCTATTTGTCACACCGCTGTAATGTCATACATCGCACTTAGTTGTACTGCATACTCTCTGCGGCACTATAATTGATTGTGAAGGAATCTCACTCGGTTTTGAACCTGTTTATACAACTTATGAAACATTTTTGATCTCTACAGTAGTAGTGCTTATGTAGGTTTAGAAGACGACAAATGACGCTTTTATCAATTACTCATTCAGTTGAACTCCTCTAAAAAGCATGGGCAGCAGCTTTTTCACTTTCGTCAGTTGTTGTAAGGTCGCCATTGATACCTCCAACCTCATTCAAACGGTATAGCTCTCGAAATATTTTACATTGTCTCGCAAGCAAGGTAGTGATTATGCTCGCCTATAGTTTGATACAAGTGTGAAAAGGTTGATTTCTTGTATTTCTCTGCGTATGTGGGTACAAAGTCTGAGGTATTATAGCTGATCAACTTTTCACTTTAATTTGCCTCCACAAGTCATAAAATGCGACTAGCGTAAGGATTAGCGTGTACGACACCGTCTTGTCACTGAATGAGGACTGCACCAAGGCCGATGTTTCTCCATTCTGTGTTCAGTTCAGTGTCGGCGTCTTTCTCGATTTGTCCGAGTAAGGGCTAAGTGTGGAGGCGCTGCTGAAGCTCTGAAAAAGAACGTCTTTGCTCAGGACCCCACATAACGAGACCAGCATTGTCGGACAGGTAAAGGTTGTGTTAACGTTTGAAAAAAGTTTTGGCATTGCTTGAAACGTATGTAGTGTGCACATAGATCAAAACTTGTTGGTGATCACGTACCTTCGCAAGTGGTATGAATGCAGTGACAGTGAGGGACTTGTGGAGAAATGAGTGATTGCCACCGTGGCTGAGAAGGCTTTCGAGGAAGACTAGTTCACTGTAAACACAATGGCATTTCTCTGGTTTTAGCGATAGGCCAACCGTACAGAGTGCAAAGCAGGCAGACTGATGTCGCTTAGGTGCTGCTCACCCGTTTGTAAGAAGGCCAAGATGTCGACTAAGTAAACAAGGCATGAATGCAAATATGTGCCTACCGCGGAGGTCTAGTCGCTAAGGTACTCAGCTGCTGACCCGAAGGTTGAAGGATCGAATCCAGGCTTCAGCGGCTGCAGTTTTGATGGAGGCGAAAATGTAGGCCCGAATGCTCCGACGTGGGTGCACGTAAAAAAACCCCAAGTGGTCGAAAGTTCTGCGTCTTTTCGCTATGTCGTCTCATACTTATATGGAGGTTCTGGGACAGTAAACACAACATATAAGTCAGCCAATCTCACTTTCTGCCTTACTGCAGTGCATCCATAATACTCTGGTTGAAAAACGTCATCATCAAGCATCTCCCTAACTTTAAAACATAAGACATCTTGTTCCTTGTGTGACACTCGGAGGCGTGGCGACCGTAGTACGGGACGTTCAGCAAGGTTTGTTCGAATGTGAAGCTTAACTGTTGATGTTTGCTTTATTTTGAATCGAGACGCCATACAGCTACTAAACATGCGTAGAATACTGTGGATCTCTTTCACCTGCGCACAGGATAGCTTCACATAAACACTGACAGCATTAATTAACGTAATGTCACTTTTACCGGCTGCGTAAGTCAGAGCAATCATAAGAAAATATTCATTGTAAATCACTTCGAAGCGAGCGATAGCCGTTCAATTGGCCAAATGTTGGTATTCATCACTGTTTTGGCAACCCACAGCTCAGTCGTCCGATGTTCAATTTGGAATGTGCCGCGGGTGACGCAGATTTGACAAGGCAAGAGCACGCAGAGGTGCCTTGAGGCAATACTGCTACAACTATTGTATGTGTAGCGCTGTAGAGTTACTAATATACAGGTTCGCGGTAGTTGTGGGCGTCATTCACAATGTGAGTGCTGTTCTTTGCGTGTCAATATGTCTCAGCTTCAAAGCAGGATAATAGACTCATTGTTTGGGTCACTTTCTTTTTTGCTTTCCAACGTTTTACGGAAGAAAATAAGTACATGCACATGATGTTTACATGACCATGCATAGGCGTTTGATACCATACAATGTTTCTGATATCAACTATACTTTGCCAAAACAAATATTTTGCCAATCGAGCGCTTTCATTTCTTTTCTTGCCACGACATTCGCCCGTGAATAGAAGGTTTGCGAACAGCAGATGGGACACAAGCTAACCTCTTCACTCAATTTGAGCTAAATGCACATTTAACAAAAAATAATAAAAAAACGTTAAAGCACCTGTGATATTTTTATTTTGCATATTGAAGAGAGCATGCACCTCACACTACTATTTACGGAAATTTCGACCTATAAACGTTTAAATGTTGTAGATGAACACCAGGTATGAAATGAAAGGTTGTGCGCGTGGGTTTTTGCACTCACGCATGTGCGTATGTGATCCTGAATGGGCAGGTTCGTCAATTTAACACCCTTGCTGTCGAGCCAGATTTATTACTGTCAAAGTGAGACTAGCACTTATGCGAAGTGCAGTGTGCCTTCTTCTCTCTTGCTTTGTCGCTCTTGCAATGGGTACGTAGACGTGTCGGAGTCAGTAATACGTCTTATGATTCTTTTCGATAAGTTGCGTCTTGTTCTGTATATATATTGAAAAACATTTAACGTTAAATAACAATCCAGACGCATTTCCACCGTTCCTATCTATCTATCTATCTATCTATCTATCTATCTATCTATCTATCTATCTATCTATCTATCTATCTATCTATCTATCTATCTATCTATCTATCTATCTATCTATCTATCTATCTATCTATCTATCTATCTATCTATCTATCTATCTATCTATCTATCTATCTATCTATCTATCTATCTATCTATCTATCTATCTATCTATCTATCTATATCTATCTATCTATCTATCTATCTATATCTATCTATCTATCTATCTATCTATCTATCTATCTATCTATCTATCTATCTATCTATCTATCTATCTATCTATCTATCTATCTATCTATCTATCTATCTATCTATCTATCTATCTATCTACGTCATGTTGCTCGCGTGGTTGTATACATAACTCGGCATATACCGAGATGTTAAGAGCAGGACTTCAGCTTAAGATGTACATGATTGATAGACGCGGGCACAAGGATGTTGCTCAAGGACATTGCTCTTCGGTCTAACGCTTGGATGAAAGCGTAGCACGCTAACACCTGGCCTGGCATTCATGCCAATAGGCGTAGATCTGTTGGATTTGGAGGTTGAAGCTCTAAGGCGTTTGTTCGTGATTTGAATGGCGTCATCGTGTGCGTAACCAGCAGAGCGAACGATAACAGAACATACCAAACGCTGAGGTTAGCGGGCAAATAAAGCTGGTGATAGCGAGAGCGCTTTGAGGAGGGAACGGCACTGGCGAGACCACCAGTTTTCCGGCGGTCAGCTGCGGCGCCACAATAGTTTGCGTGCTTATGACATTCTCACTAAAGCTTGTGGCCAGAGCATTCAACGATACCATATATGGCAATAAAGCGTCGCATGAAAGGAAGTCGGCGTGTTCATGCTATGGCTGCCGTACATGTTGCGGTTGAACGCGCATTTCGCGGTCTCCCGGTAGCATGACAGCTTGCGGTGGTTCATGTTAAAGTGGTTGCACAAAAACATTCACACCAGTTGCACCACTTACGGTTTTTTCTTCCTAATGTAGATTGTGTAGCTATACACCAAGTCGTAAGCCTTTTTTTCTGAACCATAAGTGCGCACCTGTTGGGAGTGTGTTGCCTGCCAATGCTGCTTATCGTGTATCCACACGACGGACGTCTCGGCGGGAATTTCTTCACCGGACAAACGATACGCCGTCCATCCGACTGCGAAGCGCATCCAGACAACAGACGAAACGAGTACAAGGACGCACCGAAGATAGAAAAAAAAGAAAACATGGTGGTACTGTCTGAAGCGAGAGTCACCCACTTTGAATCGTTAAGCTCTTTTTTTGCGGATTGCGCGGGCTGTTAGTCCCAAATTGACGAGTGTGTTGGCTTTACGTATGTGTTCGTAAGCTTCGGCGGCAACGTATTCATGACGATTGCGTACTGTTTCCGTGTGCCATACTCGTTTTCTGAGAGCTGTAGGATCAGTGAGTGTTCTATCGGCAGAACATGAGCTTAGCGATAGAGCAGCGATGACGTAGTGGTCAGAGCATCCGCGTCTCATGCAAAAGGTCCGTGGTTCAAATCCCGTTGCGGCGCAGTTCCCAACCGGATAAAAAAAATCCGCGTGGTGATGGAACTGTATTACGAGGCTTGGGGTGTGACCTCACCGGTAACAACCGCCGGGAACGCACTCCCTCACGTGGCCAATGCTTCATCAGAGAATTCGCCCCCCTGGTGCAGCATCTGGCCACTACCGCCCACATGCATATGTCAAATAACTCACGGCCCTTAGTCTCCAGCAGCTGCGAAGCAACTGACCACGGCGGCGGTCAGATCTGCAACGCAGCAGATGGTGCTAAGAATCTCTGGATCTGGACAGGCTGCCATTAGAACCTGGACTTGGCAACGTTTAACTCTAGAACCTTATCTAGTGAGGGAAGTCTAGCTGTACTATTCAAGGAGCTAGAGGGTCGTAAATGGGATATAATGGGGCTCAGTGAGGTTAGGAGGACCGATGAGGCCTATAGGAGGCTACAGAATGGGCACATCCTTTGTTATCGGGGCTTAGCTGGCAGAAAAGAACTGAAAGTGGGGTTCCTAATTCACAGAAATATAACTGGCGACATAAAGAAATACTATACCATTAATGAAATGGTGATAAGTATCGTAATTAAACTGACTAAGAGATACAAGTTGAAGGTGGTACAGGCTTACGCGCCTACATCCAGCCATGATGACGCTTCAGTTGAAAGCTTCTATGAAGACGTGGAATCGGCAATGAATAAGGTAAAAACACAGTATACAATACTGATGGGAGACTTTAGTGCAAAGGTAGGGAAGAAGCAGGCTGGAAACCAGGCAGTAGGAGATTAAGGCATCGGGGCTAGAAACGCCAGAGGAGAGCTACTAGTAGAATTCACGTTACGTATTTCGAATACCTTCTACCGAAAACGACGAAACAGCAAGTGGACATGGAGGAGCCCTAATGGCGAAAATAAGAACGAAATAGATTTAAAATGAGTGCACACCCAGGCATCGTGCAGAATGTGGAAGTGGTTGGCAAGGTACGATGCAGTGACCATAGAATGGTACGGTCTCGAATTCGCCGAGACTTGAGGAAGGAACGACAGAAACTGATACGCAAGAAGCCAATCAATGAGCTAGCACTGAGAGGGAAAGTACAGGAACTCAGAGTTTCGCTTCAGAACAGGTACTTGGCTCTTAGTGAGGAAACCAACCTTAGCAAAGATACGATGAATGATAATCTGACGAGTATCATTACGCAGTGTGCAGTGGAAGTTGGAGGCAGGTTATGTTGACGGGACACTGGCTAGCTTTCCCACGAAACGAAGAATCTCATTAGGAAGCGTCAAATCATGAAAGTCTCAAGTACAACAGACAAAATAGAACTGGCAGAGCATTCGAAGTTGATTAATAGGCGTAAGGTATCCGATGTAAGAAGGTATAACAAACAGATAATTGAACACGCTCTGAAAAACGGAGAAAGCTTCAAAGAAGTGAAGAGGAAACTTAGGATAAACAAAAATCGTATGTTTGCACTAAGGGATAAAGAAGGCAAAATAACTACCAATAAGGATAGGATAGTTAAAATAGCGGAGAATTTTTACAGAGATCTGTACAGTAGCCGGGACAACCACGACTTTAACACTTTAAGAACTAGCAATAACCCTGATGAAACCCCACCAGTAATGATAGAAGAAGTCAGAAAAGCATAGCAAAGCATACAAAGAGGCAAAGCTACTGGTGAGGATAAGGTAACATCAGATCTGCTGAAAGATGGATGACAGATTGTGTTATAATCACTACCCACCCTGTTTACGAGGTTTCTCCTGATGTGAAGGGTACCATAGTCTCGGAAGAACGCTAACATCATCTTGATACATAAGAAAGGAGATGCCAAGGACTTGAAAAATTACAGGTCGATTAGATTGCTCTCTGTACTACACAAGCTATCTACGAAGGTAATTGCTAACAGAGTAAAGAAAACATTGGAACTCAATCGACCAAAGGAAAAAGCAGGACTTAGCTACGGAGCAGAAACCTGGAGACTTACAAAGAAGGTTCAGCTTAAATTGAGGGCGACGCAGCGAGCAATGGAAAGAAAAATGGTAGGTGTAACCTTAAGAGACAAGAAGAGAGCAGAGTGGATTAGGGAACAAACGGGGGTTAAGAATATCATAGCTGAAATCAAGAAGAAGAAATGGGCATGGGCCGGGCATGTAGCGCGCAGACAGGATAACCACTGGTCGTTAAGGGTAACTGACTGGATTCCCAGAGAAGGCAAGCGGGTTAGGGGGAGACAGAAGGTTAGGTGGGCAAATGATATTAATAAGTTTGCGGGTATAAATTGGCAGCAGCAAGCACAGGACTGGGTTAAGTGACGGAACATGGGAGATGCCTTTGTCCTGCAGTGGACGTAGTCAGGCTGATGATTATGATGATGATGATGATGAGCTTAGCGATCTGCGATAGCGCGAGTGCTATCATATTTCAGAGGTCATATTAGTGGGCGAGCGCTTGCTTGCTCTTTTTTTTTGAATGGCACGAGCAGTGTGGAAGTTGAAAACGCATTCATCGCAAGCAAGGTATTGGAGGTTTTCAGTTTTCCGCCTTTGTCGCAGAGTTTTCATTTTTCAGTCTAAGGTGAAGTTCTAATCAAAGCGTTGAGTACTTGCCCTGCCACGGTGGTTTAGTGGCTAAGGTACTCGGGTGCAGATCCGCAAGTCACGGGATCGAATCCCGGCTGTGGCGGCTGCATTTCCGATGGAGGCGGAATTGTTGCAGGCCCGTGTGCTCAGATTTCGTGGAGATTAAAGAACCTCAGGTGGTCGAAGTTTGCGGAGCCCTCCACTACGGCGTCTCTCATAATCACATGGTGGTTTTAAGACGTTAAACTCACATATCATTCAATCAAAGTGGTGATTAGCTGCAATGATAATGGCGTCATGGGAATTAGACAACAAAGCACTCTTTTTTCTGCAAAAGGGTCTTGAGGGCATCTCTGTATTCAACAGTAACTGACCATGAGCTTTTGGTTAGTGAGACCGAAGAATACAGGAGGTTGCTGCGAGTCTCAAGAAACCAGTTTGTTTAGTTGCTGTCACTCATGAGGTCTTCCACAGAATGACAGGAAACATTGATGTGGCAACCCGTATCAGCGTCTTATAAAACAAAACTCTCCTGCACCATTTAGAGATCGTCAACCAGAGAAGCTGATGCGTATGGCCATGTGCGGTCGCAGACGTTGCAGCTGAAGGGCCGCTCTAGAAACCAGGCGCTTGCACCAACGAACGCGTACCCGCCAGTGCCGCTTCCACACTGCTACGCTCACAGTGGTGCTTTTTGAGCTCGTCATTGCTGCCTGTATGTGGCTCGGAAAGCTTTAGCTGCGTATGC